TTGCTTTTAGGGCAGGCTTATGTATCATTGAAGACTGCAAGGAAATAAAAGTTAAGCACCCAAACTAAAGATTCTTTGTCTAAAACCATGTCTGCTAGGACAAGTTTATCATTTATAAGGCTCAAGGATAGCCTTTAGATGAGTGAACAATCTGAGCCTAAAGCTACAAAGCCGCACACAGAATTCTTCCTCTTGCCACTTTGTACTGTCCCTCAGATCTAGGAGTGAATTATTGGTCCCAGTGCCACATACACACCACAGAAGTACATTCTCACTGCTGCTTGATCCAACTAAGGTGCCAGTCCATACACTGGGGTTTATTCCAAAGAGAGGTTTGTCTTATGTGATGGAAACTCCTAAGCACTGCTATCCCATTCTGTGGCTGAAAGAAGGTGATGGCACAAAATTGCTGAGGAGGGTCTGACCTCCTCTGGTCTTGTGCATGTGAAGTCCACTGCATTCACAATGCCAGAGCACCAAAGAATTTTGGAATTTCACCTGACTCCTTGATGGTGTTATGCTGAACTGTCAGTGAATATGAAACATTTTAGCTCCTTAGTTCTGTAACCTTTAACTGTAAATCTGGAACCTTTTATTCTTAACCATCTGGGAGAATTCTATAGATCCAAGAGAAATGTAAAAGGCTTATGAGCCAGAAGTAGCTAGCATGAGGTCCAAAGTGAAAGTCAGCTGGGATTAAGCGGTCAGATAACTGTGCACCGCAGAGCAACAAAGTCTTACCAATAGTTAGAACATCAAGTTGAGAAAATAGCAGCATGAGCGAGTAGAGAACTATCAAAACCAGATTAATTCATTGGCTATTTTCTAAGCTTTGTCACTTTAGCTCATTTAGTTGCTGGGTTACAAAATTGAATAAGAAAAACAAGGAAAACTGATAACTTGTCCCAGATCCACAGAGACTGAGACTAGACAACTAAATGCAATATGGTATCCTGAATTGAATTCTGGAACAGAAGGAAATTAATGGAAAACTGGTGAAATATGAATAAAGTTTGAAGTTTAGTTCACAGTAATGTGTCAATGTTGGTATTTTAGACCTGACAAATACATGACAATAATGGAAGACGATTCCATTAGGGAAACTAAAATCAGTGGGAGCTTTGCAGGGTTTCTCTGTGCTCTCTGCAACTTTTCTGTAAACTAACACTCTTTCAAAATAAAAGGGTTATTTAAGAATGAATAAGACAAGATTCTTATCCTGGAGTACTTAGAGCACACTTGGGAGGATATTATAGTAAAGAAACCAACTCAATCTGGCACTAAATGATTTAACAAAAAAATTTACAAGGCTCAGTGGTGCATAGGTCCAGCAGAGCTCCTACTCCAATCTAGAGTTTAATGAGAATACCTGAGATCAATTCTAAAGGATACGTAGGCCTGACAGGAAAAGGAAACGGTGATCAGAATTACAGGTAGAAGGAAGGGCATGAGCTGCATGGAGAACTGACAGATAATTTGGAAGGGCAAAGGGTAAGACTAAGGGTGGGACCAGATCCAACTGTGCAAGGCTCGCGTGTCTGGATAAGGACCTAGATCTCCACCTGGGGATGATGGTGAATGACATCACTAGATCTGCAACAGCATGCATATATATTTTTGGAGGCAGAGCTGAAAGTAGATATATTTTGTAATGCTGTGAATGAGGCAGAAACAGTAGATATGGAGACAGGAGCATAAATTTGAGAATTACATAGGAATAGGAAGTAAAACAAGGAGTCTTTAGCGAACCTGACCTGAGGCCATTGAGTGTGGAGGGAAATAATCTAGCAGATTAAAAAAAAAGTCTTTGGATTATCACTGTACTATACAAAACAATACAATAATTAATTTTCAATTAATTTTCATATCAGACTTGTGAAGAAAAGTTGAGACTATGCTTAGTATACCCTACTACAGATAACCACACAAAAACTTTCAGTCAATAAGGCACTGTAAACACATGCTTTTAAAACCTATATACTTAAAACATAATAGTAATTGATAAAATATTAAAAGGCAAATAAAAACACATAGCTAGCTTGAAAATAAGTTAAGATCTCTGTGAACCAGAACGAAGACCCAAAAAATTTTCCTTAAAAAAAAAAAAAAAAAAAAAAAAAAAAAACATAAAGAAACAGGAGCACCTGGGTAGCTCAGTGGTTGAGTGTCTGTCTTGGCTCAGGTCATGATCCTGGGCCCTGGGATCGAGTCCTGCATCCAGCTCCCCACAGAGAGCTTGCTTCTCCCTCTGCCTGTCTCTGCCTCTCTATCTCTCATGAGTAAATAAATAAAATCGTTTTAAAAATAATAAAAAACAAAACATTTCTAAAATACATAGCTTACATAAAAAAAGAAATAGGAACAGGAGTTAAAAAAAAAACATAAATCAGAATATGGGAGGGAACCCTGGGTGGCGCAGCGGTTTGGCGCCTGCCTTTGGCCCAGGGCGCGATCCTGGAGACCCGGGATCGAATCCCATGTCGGGCTCCCGGTGCATGGAGCCTGCTTCTCCCTCTGCCTGTGTCTCTGCCTCTCTCTCTCTGTGTGTGACTATCATAAATAAAAAAAAAAAAGAATATGGGAAACTAAATCACAACATACACTTTTAAAAGCAATAAATAAAGGAAGAAATTCTCAAATTTCAAACAACAGAACATTTGACAAAAGCAAATTGAGCATAGGGGTGGAAAATGCTGGCCATCATTGTGTAACAAATTTTTTATGTGAGTGGTCATATCCTTGTCTGCTTGTTTCTTTGGGAAACTGGCCATTTCCACTTGTGATCATTCTTTACCAGGATGTCTAACTGATAATGAATAAATGACTTCAGCAATATTCCATTTCTTGAAGTAAATAGTACTATTAAACTTAAGAACGCTGGTATATGGGCTTTTAAAGCACTTCCATAGTGCCTGGCACACAGTAATCCCTCAGTAAGTCCGTTATTATTCCTCCAAGCATCAATGATATAATTTATCACTAGTATTATTATCATCATTATTCAGCACTCTCAGATAGTATTAGAAATGATATGAGTTGTATGGTAAACTATTTCCTTTTATTACTCCCTTCTATGAAGACCTACCTGCTCTTCCTTTGTTCTGATTTCCGAAGACCTCTGAATAGTTCCCTTCTCATTATTTAGTTTCACTTTCCAAAACACATTCCTTTCCCCCCTTTATTTCTTATTTTCCCAATAATAGGAAACCCTTTTGATCCCTCTCTTTCTGTAAATAGTGCCACCATTATGCCAGGTTTAAAGCTTGGCAAATCGAACTTCGATAAAAATAAGTAAATAAATTTTAACCATTTTGTTGGTTGTAAAACAAACAAAAACCTCAAAATAATATTTTAATTTTCTATTTTTCCTGTTCAATTCAATTAGCCACCATCCAAAAAAAAAAAAAAAAAGAATAAAAAGAAGGAGAAGGAGGAGGAGGAGGAGGGAGGAGGAGAGGAGGAGGAAGAAATGTGTCCTTTAAATCTCTCTCACTTCTGTCCATTTCGTTCTGTCATCATCACCAGCTTTAAGGTTTTAGAAACTCATTGCTAGCTAGCTGTTACTACATGGCAACTGATTTGATTTCCCCATGTTTTCTCATACTAAACATTGTGCAACAATACGCAAATACTATATTCAGTGAGCTAGTGGAAAAGAGCGTTACTCTTTTCTTCTACGTTCAAACATGCTTATGCACTAATTCTCTCCCTGCATCTGCCATAAGTCACAGGCAGATAAGAAATTTTTCTAGGCCCTTTTGGTCACAAACAGTCACAATCTGGTCCAAAATAATTTAAAAATCTTCCTCTCCTTTCTCCTCTTGCCCCATCCCTGATATAGTCTGCATCAGATTTAAGCCTGTAATGGAGGGTGGCAACTTTTTTTGCTTCTCCTCTATTTCTGTCACTTCCTCCTCCACTTTTGGCTGTTCTAATGGACACCTCAAGAGCCAGGACCCAGAAAAAAAGGTAATGAGAGATAAACAGAGTTATATCTTGTGGTTAACTAGAGGTATTCCTCCTTTGGGATGTGACAGATGCCCAAATACTACTTCGTATCAATATATTTCTCATTTGGGGAGCACTTCTTTTTTAAGAGAGAAAGCATGCAAATAGGGAAAGGCAGAGGGAGAGGGAGAGTGAGAATCTTAAGCAGGCTCCATGCCTAGCATGGAGCCCAATGCAGGACTCCTTTTCACAACCCTGAAATCATGACCTGAGCCAAAATCAAGAGTCAGATATTTAACTGACAGAGCCACCCAAGTGCCCCTCATTTGGGGAGTACTTTTACACATTTTCTAAGATGTGTCTCTGAGGATTGCTGATAGCAGTTATCAGGACAGTCCATAATACCCCCTGCAAGGGGAATAGATAGACATACAGGTGCCTCTGTCCAGAGAAACTCCCTCTGGTCTGTTCACCCCACATATTTGAAAGATGGAAGTCAGCATTCATGACACTAAAAAAAAAAAAAAATGTTTCCAATCTGCTAACATGCTCTGCATAGTCCTGCAGGACCCAAATATGTATTCAATCCCTATCAAAATATTCTCAATTTCCACTGAAATTATGGTAAGTAAATTTCCATTTTTACAGTCTGTTAAAACTAATGTTTTCAACTCGCATTTTAATGAAAAATCATCATATGCTCACAAGGCCCATAGGCTATTTTCTTAGTCTAAGATTCTTAACGTAAAGGCCTCTCTAATCTTCTCTGACTGGTCATTCTAATCTATTCCCTACTACTGAGCAAATTCAGACATCCTGTGCTGCCCCAGATCTAATCACTGCTTTTTGAATTCTGGCCGCCTTGCATCCCCAGTCACTAGTCCACTCTCCACCCCAAATCAGGACTGTTTCAATCTTTATTTTCAATGAAACTGAATTTGGTTAATTCGCACAGTAAAGGAACTAACTGGAAGGATAGTGGACAGTTCATAGAATGAAATGGAAAAGCCAGAGAACTCTAAGTGGAAGGAAATTAAGAAAGGAAGAAATCCATGACTTAAGCTTATGAGTAAGGAAAATACCAATTCAGGGTAATGTCTAAATCCTCACTGCTAATGTGGGATGAATTTGTGAGTGGATACAGGTGCCCCTAAGGTGACCTGCCTACTTGCCAGTATGCCTAGGAGTCGCGATTTGCCCATCCTCCTTTAACACTGAAAGAGTAGACTGGTATAAGTTAGTAAGCTATATTGAGAAGATGCTTGTTTCCTTTAAGTAATAAACAAGATTAATTCAAGAAAGAGAGAGAGAGAGAGAAATAAGGGAGAGAGGGAGAGAAGGAGGGAGGAAGGGAGGAAGGAAGGAAGGAATCCAAGAATATTTCATAGGAATGATCTGTTGGGGAGACCCTCAATGTTATCAGTCATCATTACACCGCTGGGCCCTTCAGTCTTCTGCAATCACAGCAAATGATCTCTCTTCCTGGTCTTTCACTTTGCTTTATTTTCCCAAGATTTAAAGTCCCAGGCAAGAACACAGGCTTAGCCATGGCTGACAACTTGAAAACCATGGGAAAAGGGAAAGTTACCATTAGAAATTAGTCAAATGTATTATTTGGGGCACATAATATCATTGTTTTCATAAAATCCCAAGAGAATATGCTGAAAAAATTAGAATTCAAGGGAGAGATCCACAAAGTGACTGGGCACAGATATATACGCAAGAATTCAGTATCTCCCTCGTACAAAAACAAAACTACAATACCAAAGACATCAATAATTTAAATGGGGAAAACAAAATATAGACGCTTAGGAAGAAAACTATAGGGGCACCTGGTGATTCAGTCAGTTAAGCATCCAACTCTTGATATTGGCACAGGTCATGATCTCAGGGTCCTGGAATCAAGCCCTGAGTAGGGCTCCAGGCTCAGTGGGGAGGAACATAAGGGTTCTCTCTCTCTCCCTCTCCCTCTGCCCCTCCCCCAATCATGGATGTGCACACATACTCTCTCTCTCTCAAATAACTAAATAAATCTTTTTTAAAAAAAAGAAAACTAGGGCACGTGGGTGGCTCAGTGGTTGAGCAACTGCCTTTGGCTCAGGTCATGATTCTGGGATCCTGGGATCAAGTTCCACATCAGGCTCCCCATAGGGAGCCTGCTTCTCCCTCTGCCTATGTCTCTGCTTCTCTCTGTATGTCTCTCATGAATAGATAAATCTTTTTAAAAATTTAAAAGAAATTAAAATTTCTTTTAAAGAAAGAAAACTATAAACATTAATTCAGATCTCTTACAGAAGAATTGAATAAATAAAAACATTCATTACTTTTGGTGGAAAGACTATTTTAAAGTAGCTCTTTTTTACTTTACCTATAATCCAGGATAAATCTGGATTAAGATTTGTAACTTAACTTATCGAACAGTAAGAATTTAGTGTGTGAATTAAATTTAGTTAATTTGATTGAGCCTACTTATCTTTTATGTGGAGGAAGGAATGGTGTGTGTGTGTGTGTGTGTGTGTGTGTGTGTGTGTGTGTATGTGTGTGTGAGAGATCTGGAAATGATTAGAAATTACCCTATATACATAGATAAATAGAGAATTTACAGATATTTAGACTAACATACTTGATATCAAACAGGAAATAATAAAATAGAAAAAAATATCTAACTTTATGGTAGAGTCAGCATCTACATTTCTACCCAAAGAAGTGTTCATGTTTTAAATCTGAATTCCCACTAAGGAAATCATATTAACTTTTAGCTTATTTTACAACCTATCAACCATAAAATATGGTCACTTACTCATGAACAGATTCCACTGTATCTCCCATCTCATTCAGAAACTAGAAAGTCAGATTATTCTTAGGTTTTGTGTTCCTTTGTCCTGTTATTATTAGGGGCCTGGGCAGATGAGAAGATAGGATCTAAGATTGTTAAACCCAAATTGAAGAACCTCCCATCTAATTATCAGGCTATACTGCAGGCACAATGCCACTACTGATGGAGATTTAATGAGGGCTGAGAATTAAAGCAAAAATAAATAAAGTTGATAACAATTAGGGAGCTATCATCAAATTGATGGTGAATACAAAGTCTACAGTGGATGTCTAGAATAAGACTAATTAACCTTGCTGCACCCCAGCAGGCCCCAGTCCTCATGTGCTCTGAAAAACGTGTCAATGTGTTCTCACTATTCTTTTTTATATTGATGACGTGAGGTGTGGATTTGTTTACAGAAAAAAAATGAAAGCAAATCAAAGAGACAAATAAATAAAATGTGAGTGTTCTTCACATAAACATCTCCCCCTCAGATACAGACAGACTCAGGTGGTTCCATTGGTTACTTAAGTCCTTCCTCATAATCCCTCTTGACTGAAAAGATATTTCCTACATTAACTAAGAATGTTTAAGCTCCTTTTGTTTGGAGAGAGAATATAATGTAAAAAGCTACCACAGCCAAGTCCCCTTCCAGTATTTTACGGTGGTCTAAGTAGTCCCTGTTATAGAAAGGATGACCCTCCCACTCACCCACCCACCCATTCAGAAAGACAAGGCATTCATTCATTCATTCATTCATTCATTCAACAAATATTTGTTGAATAAGTACTAGTGCTAAACACTGGGGACTCAGAGGTGATATAAAAAGTTCATGTCCGTGGACTTTAACACTCTGGGAGGAGAGACAGACAATAAACAAATAGTTAAGCCACTCTCTGGCTCTACATCAGCCTATTTCAACCACATTGTTCCTTGAGGCCACAAAGATTATGGTGTCTACTGACTTCTGGCTGGTTGGGATCTTGTTTCTAGTCATTTTCTCTGCTACTTTTCCTTCTTGCTGGTTATCTCTGCTCCAAGGGTTTTTCTTTGCTACTACATCCAATTCCAGAAATGTCTGCAATTTAATGAGTTTCTGCTAAAAACAGTACTACCCCCAGCAAGGCCCATTAAACACACAGAGGTGCACTGACTGGAAAAGAACCACTGTTTATTATATTTCAAGAAGAAATAAGCTGGGTCATACATTATTTATGAAGTGTTTATGATGTCATCCAACACTAACATAAGCACTGACTGACATAATATAATAAACACAACAGCTGTTTCCTCTACCACTTCACTGTTCGACTCCTTCAACTGAGAATTCAGATTTTCAGCTTTTCACTCTTTAACCTTTTATGATACTGATTGACCTAGTAATATGCTAATCAATCTTCATGCCAGATCTCATTATAGAGCCAGTTAAATACAATAAATCATACCTTCAGAATGTAAAAAAATAACACCTATTTTTGAAACGACTTTGTTAGAAAAGAAAGTTACAAAACTTTATTGGCCTCTGCAAATATATTTGGTGGGTGCAAATGCTCTAAGCTCTGAACTCCAAAACTAAATTTCTAATTGGGCTTTTTTTTTTTGAAGTGATGGAGTTTCTGTCTATTTTAATACTTCTGGTGTGAAGATAAGTCTGCAGATTTAGAGAAAAGTGAACATGGCTTTAGAAGTATTTGTACTTTATCTTTTTGATAACTGTCTTTTAAGAACAATAAAGAGATTTATTTCTGTCAGGTAGTAGTGAAAATATTATGAATGCCCTTACTGCTTTGATATTTCATGAAAGGCACGGTATATCTATGGCAGTTAAAACCTGAAAAAAAGAGGAAATGGACAAAGTTTATTGAGTTGAGCAACAGATAGCAAGACAGGGAGGAAGAAAGAAGGGAGATGACATATCCTTCATTTATCTTTTCCTAACAGATGATGTATTTAGGAAAATCAAAATAATCATATATGTAAAAGAATGTCTATTTAAAAGAATTCATTGATTATGGTATTTTTTATAGTACTAGCATGAAGGGTAACCATTTTTCAAATTATAATTCTGCACTCAAGAACTCTGCTTTATTGCAAATACGAGCTTATCATAAAATATTAACTATAAATTTATCCTGACTATAAAATTAAGCACATTATTGATTTATAATAGAAAAGCTACTAATGGCAAGTAAACGATTTAGGAGTTGGAAATGGGAGAGTAAATGTCATTCTAAAGAATGAGTGAGTTGTCTCTTTTCTGGGACACTAACTTCCAAAACACAGTAAGAGTTGATGTAAATCGGCACTACCCACACTGCTGCCCATGACTACGAGCTACAGGTCCACAATAAGATAGAAGAGGAATGAGAAGATGTGCTTCTAAGCTCTTATAGTTATTTAGAAGAGTAATTTTATATCTGTTTAATCTAATAAAAACTATGGACTCATATTATTCATTTTGCACATTTTATTTTTTTCCATTCATTTATTTTACAAAAGTATCTCTCTGAAGCATATAGAAATTAAAAATAAAGAAAAAGAAGAAAAAGGACACACTTTCACCAAAGTTAGAAAACAAACAAACAGAAAAACACCAAAGAAAAAAAAAGAGTAGATGTGGAGAAATGGAGTTTGGGCTTTGTTTTCTTTAATTTGTAAAGGAAATTTTTTTAATTTTTTTATTTACTTATGATAGTCAGAGAGAGAGAGAGAGAGAGAGAGAGAGAGAGGCAGACACAGACAGAGGGAGAAGCAGGCTCCATGCACCGGGAGCCCGACGTGGGATTCGATCCCGGGTCTCCAGGATCGCGCCCTGGGCCAAAGACAGGAGCCAAACCGCTGCGCCACCCACGGATCCCTGTAAAGGAAATTTTTTGACAAAAATTCTGTCACAGAGGTTCAGACAGCTTTTTGGAGGACTTTGTTTTCATTTCCTCCTTCTCTCCAGACTCTGATTTCCTTTAGACTGTAAGTAACTCACTTTAGCATTGATTTGATTGGGTCAAATGTATTGCTTCCATAGGCTTCAGTAAAACAGATTTTTTTCCATTTTAATTTATTTGCTAATTATCTCAACAACTTTCCCTAAATTTTTTTCACATAGGCACATATTTCCAATAGAAGTTTAGGACATAACTAGAGCCAATTTCATATCCTTGGTATTACAGTAAGTAATTGGTTGCTTATCTCTCTTTTTCACTCCTGCCATAGATTTATCCATACACATTGAGTGTCTGTTGCAAAATGTAGCTGGTCTTTGTCAAGGTTTCTTTTCATAAGCTTTCTGTGGTTTAGAATAGGAACTAGTGGAAAAAATTCTTACAATCAAGGGACTATACTTCTGCCACTATCACATCAGCTTAACAACAGAAGCAAACAGTTTTGCA